CTGCTACTGCTACAACTACTGCTGCTACTGCTACTGCTACTACTGCTACTACTGCTACGTTTTTCTACCATTTCTCCTACTGCGACCTCGACTACGGGTACGACTACGACTACACCTACTCCTGCTCGTCTTCCTCTTCCTCTTCCTCCTCGTCCTCGTCCTCGTCCTCGTCCTCGTCCTCGTCCTCGTCCTCGTCCTCGTCCTCGTCCTCGTCCTCGTCCTCCTACCACTCCTACACTTACTCCCACTCCTAATTACTCCTGTTCCTGCTACTATTACGACGACGACGAATGCTACTGCTACTTCTACTGCGACTGCTACTGCGACGACTACTGCAACTACTACTACGACTACTACTAACCACTGCGGACCCACAATGACACTGATCTCAAGTTTCGGCCCTGACCCGGAATGCCACAAACAGCCAGGGTCTCTGCAAAGCTTGGAACTGTAGAGCAAGATGCATTCACTTCAGTTGCCCCTTCAACCGTTAAACGAAGTCTCGGTGTCAGCCTCCTTCTTCTGTGATCTTGTTCTGCGTCCCCTGCCGGGCAGGGTCGTCGCAGAAGCATTGTGACACGGGGTTTAAGATTTCATGGCTTTCGCACCTAACCCATCACAGGGACTGTGCTGAAGGCAATCGGAGAGTCAACTTGGAATCTGACTTCAAGCCAACTCAAGACCAGAAACTGCAATACCGTGTCGCTGCCTGAACAGCCTTCGGGACTTCCAGATACCTCGGAGAGCAGCGATTCTGAAAGCAGGGATGACGTCTATGAGTTTGTTCGTTCGAAAACTGCCACCCCTAAACCGCTATACCGTAGACACTAAACCAAGTTTGGGGCCTAGGGTTTAGGGTTCTTTTTTATCACCTCTTTTCCTTCGCCTGATCAGGGTTGCAGAATACCATGCTGGTTGAGGCAGGTAACAGGAGCCTGGTTACTCACAATGGGGATTCACCACTCAACACCACTACCCCCGTCTTCTCATCCTCCAGGCTCCTGGGATTAGGCCGCCTCTGCTGTGACTCAGGCCCTCGATCAGCAGATATTGAACTAGGGTTTAGGTAGGGTTTAGGGTTTAGGAGTTGAGGCTTCGAGCTGATCCCAAGAGATCAGCCAAAAAAACAAGGTTTCACAAGCAAGGCTTCCAGCATGGCTGGCATCCTTCTCAATCCCCCAGCATGCGAAACTGCAGAGTAGTAAGAGGCACCAAGACCTCACTTCGAGGATCCTTGTCTTCTGAAGCCGTAAAGGAGGGGCCTTAGATAATTAGAATAAGGTTTTGGGGGCTCCTTATTATAATTGTAGCAAAATATACCCCCAAACCCTATTCGAATTATTAAGGCCCCTATATCACCCACCATGCTGACACTTATCAATTGACAGATCGGTCGAAACCAAACCGTGGGCATGCAGGGCTTTCCAAACCCTAAACCCCAAGCCCCGAACCGAAGAGCGTTTAGGGTTTAGGGCTTAGGGTCTAAACCCGAAGCCCTAAACCCTAAATCCCGAACACGAAGTCCGAAGCCCGAAACCCTCCCCCCTAAACCCCCGAACTCTAAGCCCGAAGCCACAAGCCCTTAAACCCCACTCTCCAAAAAAAACCTTGGGTTTGGATAAACCCTAAACCCAAAACCCTAAACTCTGAACCCTAAACCCTAAACCCTGAACCCTAAACCCTTAACCCCAAAACCCCAAACCCTAA